TTGTTTGCATGACACGATGGCTAGAATAGTTGGGAAATTCAGCTCTTATGAATCCTGAATAGTGCTTATGATTGACAAAAGAGTTTCCAATAATTGCTGCCTTGATTCTCTTTCAAAGGCATGCATATAAATAGCAAAAACAACAACAACACATTTTAGTGGACTAATGTTTTTTAATAAACCAATAATGAATAAGGAAATAGGTGCTAATATCTAAATAACTGATTAAGAGCATACAAATGATAACGTTTTCATGCATGCACCCTGTTAGTTTTAGCACCTTTATGAATTATGATACTGACTTTTGTTTATTATAAATCCTTTTATAACTTTAATCACACATTTAAAATGTTATTATATTGGTAAGAAAATTGAATGATATACTTGTTATAAATCAGACTGCAGATTAATACTTATTAACATTTAAAAAAAAAACATAATCCAATTCCAAATCTAAATCCACTACTATTAGAATCTATGGAGACAATGGTCGGCGGTTATAACACTATTATAGTTGAATCAATCATATTATAGTTGAATCAATCATTATTGAATCCTAATATTCTTGTGAATCAATGATTGGACGACTAAAGATAATTAAACGCACCAACTATTACAAAACAAACTATAAAATATGGAGGCTGACCATATTATCCTTTGAGAACTCTTATGAACAATTTTTTTTTTTTTTAACTCTTATGAAATTTTATAATTCTTATAACTGTTTGATGATTTGTAATCCAAAAAATTTAGCTCAGTCTGACCTAAAGCCAAGTCCGAACATACAACAAAATCTTTTACCCAGTCAGACATTGTCAAAAACATTTTATATTAATTATTTGTTGGTCCAACTCCGATCTAAAACAATTTGGAATTAGTCCAATCGTCGTTCAAAATTTAAATCAAGAATAATACGAACAGTTTGGCTTTAATCCTCGGACCTCAAATTTTGACTCTAATTGAAACTACAATTCTCTTTCCTTTTGTGTGTATATATATACTTTAAAGTTTTTGCTGGTTTATAATAAGAGTGTGTAAAAAGTAGTAAAGGACCCGCAATGTACAATGCAAAAAGAAATGGTCATGTTGGGTCTTGGAGTTTAGCTCAAAGGCAGAAACTCAGAGTTTGCTTCCTTTTCACGTCTTTAAAGAC